TCTCTCTCTCTCACTCGTTAAGTTGCTATCAACATTCTATCCTCACTCACATGACATGTCTCCCCTTCTCTTACTTATCATAATTCATATACTAATCACTATTTGATATCAATTGTAAAAACAGATATCTTTATGCTCTTCATCATTACCCATTTGGAGTCCTCTCTGATATCAATTTCCCAACTGAGCTATCATTTCTAAACTATGCTTGCTTCTAACACCAATCAAATCCATGATGAACATGAAAGCCACCAACTTTCCTTACAATTCATAGATTATTACAACTTCGATCCTTTCCTCGATGAAGATTTCATTTTGAGTCAAATTTTGTATACTCAAAAACAGCAATTTCTTGATGCTAATAATTTTGAACCTGAAATTGGGTTTGAAATTAGTGTCAATAACACCAATGAGGAGATAACCCAGAAAGCTTTACCTCAAAAGAAGCCCATTTCTAGAAAGAGAAGCTCGAACAAGGATAGACATAGCAAGATCTGCACATCAAAAGGGCCAAGAGATAGAAGAATGAGGCTTTCAATTGAAATTGCACGAAGCTTCTTTGATCTTCAAGATATGCTTGGGTTTGATAAAGCAAGCAAGACAGTGGAGTGGCTTTTTGCTAAATCAAGAAGTGCAATTAAGGAGCTAAAGGAGAAATATTTGTCAGAGGGTAATAATTACAACAAAAGTTTTGATTTTTCTCCTCTTTTTAGGAAAGTTTCTGTTTTTGAAGCGCCTAGAGAGAAGAAGAGAAGGAAATTAAGGGTGGTTGATAAAGAATCAAGATCCAAGGCAAGAGCTAGGGCCAGGGAAAGAACAAGGGCAAAGATTGTTCGTCGTTTGGAGATATCAAAATGTGATTTTGAAGGAAACCCAATTGGGGATTGTATGATGGGTGATGTTAGTGAAGAAATTGGCACTAAAAACAAGAATTTTGAATTCGAACGAGGCGAAAATGAGAGATTTTTGAGCTCGAATGTCAAAAACTCAGCTGATCATGTTCATCTTCTTCCTGGCTCCTCCATGGATATGAGCTCCATGTCCTTGGACAGCACCAAAGCATCACCTGCAGGTAATTTTCAGAATTAGGGTTTAGTAAATTTCTCTTAGATCGAACGCTATGCTGAGATTTAGTGGGTTCGGTATGTTAGGAATTACGACCCTCTACAATAATATGATATTGTCCACTTTGAACATAAACCCTAGTGGCTTTGATTTTAGTTTACCTAAAATGTCTCATACGAATGAATATGTATTATTTACTTATAAACTCATGATCATTCTCTAAATTAGTCAATGTGAGACTCCCTTCTAAAAATCCTCCACACGGTAAATACGGTACACGGGTAATTTTGTTATGTATTTTTGAGAAGGTATGAAAGTAAAAGTTTAAATTTTGATAAACAAAGCAAAGTACATGGGTAAAAAAAGAAACCCTTTTACTATTGATTCCTTGACCACTAAAAATTACCCATTTAGGTTAAAAAGATTCAAGTTCAGCCAAAAAGAACAAGTAAACCCTAGCTCAATATCAGCTTCATAGCTCATCAAGCATCATTATGGAGCCCTAGATTATGGTATGCAACAAGTATGATTTTGGTCTAATATGCAGGCTTGAAAGTGCTGGAACTTGATGAAATTGATGGTGTGCTGATCTTCTATGGAGAATGATGCAAGAATTTAATCCATGATTCAAGGTTTCATGATTTGTAATTTCAGACAGAAGTTAAGGTATTGTTTAAGAATAAATGTCCTTTTCCTATGTCTCATTGTTCTTTCTTTGGGTAATATTCATCAATTAGCTGTTCTCTCAAGAACTTTTATTTTGTTTGTGAAATCTGTAGTACATGAATTCTTAATGGTGTGGGGAATCCATATGTTGCCTTGTTTTAATGTGTATATATATATATATGTATGTATGTATGTATATAGATTACGTTCATATCTAAGTTATCTTTGTTCATACAAAATATTATTCTGCTTTTACCAAATGAGTCTCAATTATTGCTCGGATTTCTCACCATTTCTTTTATATATTATCTCCTATCTAAAAAGACATTTGAAATTTTAGTCAAATTTCATGTAACATCCTAAGCTTAAGCTTACTGTTAATAAACATTATCCGATTTTGCTCTATACATATCGCAATCAACCTCACGACTTAAAACGCATCGCCTAGTAAGAGGTTTCCACATGCTTGTAAGGAATGCTCTGTTTCCCTTTCCAACCATTGTGAAATCTTACCTTTTAAAAACGAAAAAAATAAAATTTATGAACTAGGTTTAGATTGCGAGAACATTGGAAACATAGATATAGTATTTATAAACTAATTTTTTAAAACGAAATAAAAAACAAAATAACGACCCATTATATATCATTGTCAACCTCACGATTTTAAAACGAGAGAGGTTTCCACACCCTTTTAAAGAATGTTTTGTTCCTCCTTCCAACATTTGAAGCCTAGAGAGAAGGAAGAAAATTTGTTGTATAAGAGAGGACATCCGTAAATTTGAGCGTCCCTTCTTTAGAAGTCATTTTTCCTCTAAATTTTCATCGACTCACTGAGCTTACCATTATGCTATTTCCACCCGCTGCGGTAGTGGCAAAACACTACCAGGTAATTGTGAGGTTCTTCATCGGTTGGACAGAAAAACAAAACATTCCTTATAAGGGTATGAAAACTTCCTCCTAGTAGAGACGTTTTGTAACTGTAAGGCTGACAACGATATGTAACAGACCAAAACAGAAAATATCTACTAATTGTGAGCTTGGACTATTACAGTAATTCATGTATAGACAGCTCGATCGGGCAAGAAAAAAAAACATAGCGAACGAGCAAAAAGTAAATATCTATGGTTACATGACATGGTTAGAGTGATCTGTTAGTAGAAATGAAAATTTATAACAATTTAATTAAACGCCTATACGAGCTGTTCATGCAAATAATGAAGATTGAGAAAGGCTCAAAGAAATACTTAACGGGTTCAAAGTAGACAATATATCATAGCAATGCTCGATGTTGTATGTGCTAACGAAATCGTAAAAACACACAAGTTCTCATTTTTGTTCAATTTTTGGTATTCTACTCCCTTTTAATGGGAGATTCAGCTACAAAATCACATGAACAAACGTGAAAAGTAGTAGAAACATGAGCAAAATATCAAAATAGAAGTACCTTGTGTACCTTATTTGAGACTGCCTTTCCCTTGTTTGGTGTCTTAGCTTCTCTATGGAGCTCACTATTTGAAGAAAAGGGAACATTAATAAAGAAAAGCACTTAATTAGGAAAGGGAAGTGCGTACTGATAGAAGCAGATATGCCAAAGTGAGTGATAGGAGGCTAAAAAGTCAAGCACAAGGGCATGGCGTTAGAAGTTGATGGGACATTTTCCTTTGCAGGCTCCTTTTGGTTGCAACTATCATGCCTATTTGGCTAGTGTTTGTGTTTGAATGTCTAAAATCTCTGAGAAGAAACATAGACCTATTTATGTAACCGTTCAAACTCACCTCTAATAGATATTGTCTGCCCTAGTTTGTTAGTTTTAAAACGCATCTAATAGGGAGAGGTTTTCACACCTTTATAAGAAATGCTTCGTTCCCCTCTCTAACCTATGTGGGATCTCACAATCCACCCCCTTAACGGTCCAACGCCCTTGCTAGCACACCGCATGATATCTGGCTCTGATACCATTTGTAATAGCCTAAACCCACTGCTAACAGATATTGTCCATCTTGTTCCGTTACATATTGTTGTTAGCCTCACGATTTAAAACGCATCTACTAGGAAGAGGTTTCCACACCCTTATAAGAAATGCTTCTTTCCCCTCTCCAACCTACGTGGGATCTCACAATCCACCCTTAAGGGCCCAACGTCCTCGCTAGCATATTGCATGATGTCTAGCTTTGACATCATTTGTAACCGTCCAAACTCACTGCTAACAGATATTGTCTGTTTTGGCCCGTTATATATTGTCGTTAGCTTCATGGTTTAAAACGTGTCTACTAGGGAGAGGTTTCCACACGCTTATAAGAAACGTTTCGTTTTCCTCTTCAATAGACGTGAATGCCAGAATCAAGATTTAGTAAAATATTAGGCATTTGTAAAATGGTGAAGAATATGAGGGATCTCAGTCATGTGTAGATTCTGGGGCTTACCCTAGTTAGCTTCACTTTCCCTGTAGAGCATTAATGATACTGAGATGGGTCGTAATGATATCAAATTTTGTGTATTCAAAACTAAAATTCAGTATATGAGAGAGAAGGAAACAGAGGGGAGGAAAAAAGGGAAGAAAAACAGATTGTTTAACCAGTACTGACATGAAACTTGGAAAAAAATTATATGATGCAGATATTCTTGGTTACCACCCAGATAGAATGTGAAGAAAAAAGGACCTTCTCAGAACTTTACCTATACATATCACGACAATACAATGAAAGGGACTGTTCAATACAAAGTGAACATGAAAACCTCTGCTGCATTATTAAGCAAACAAACACCACAGATCTTAATTTGGGGGGGTTCTTTTGCCTCTCTCTTGGGGCTCGGGAATCCGGGAGGAGGGTCTTGTAGCAATTCAAGTCCACCACTAGTAGATATTGTCTGCTTTGACTCGTTACGTATCACCGTCAACCTCACGGCTTTTATAACGCATTTGATAGAGAGAGGTTTCTACACCGTTATAAAAAATGCTTCGTTTCCCTTTCCAACTGATCTGGGATCTTATAAGTCTCTTTGTGCTCTTGGATGTCCGGGCTAAGAACACCATAGCCTATTCTTAAATGAAAAAATCTTCAGTTTAGCAGAAGAAAAGTGAAGGAGAATCTGTACAGGAGACTGCCAGATTTTAACGAGTACGTTCGCTCATTCAGTACAGACAGACACACTGCTATCAACACGTCTGCCTGTTTCTCTTTACTTCAGTCAGTGTTAACAGGGTGCAGACATGCTGAGGCCTGTCTTCGTGCTTGGCAAACTTTGGCGTTCATAGACACAATAATATGCATAAATTTGTGGTCTAACCGAGGGATATTAACTGGGATTTTGTACTATCCATCTCGATATCCCCTCCGCCGGCCATAATACACAGCAGACATAATTCATCTAGTGGTAAAGTTACACATTTTCAGCTTCATGATTCTGAGAAAATTCTTATACATTCGCTACAAATCACTCCCAATATGTTACAATGGGATTCTAGAAAACCTCAGATATGGCCACATAGAACCTATGTACATAAATTAATCAAATAGCTACAACTAGGATTGGAAAATGCATTCACGCTAAGGTCGTTTGGCAGTGACAGACGCTCCGTCTCGTCTAGTTGAATTAGCTGCACTTTGGGACCAAGACGATGGCTTGAAGCTACCTGTTAATATGGTTGAAGCTGCAGAGGCACAGATCTTCCTTCTCTTGGATTCGAGGTCCAATCGTTTCTTGTCAGGTATGGATGATCTAGATGATCCATGGAAGATGGAGGAAGCATGAATCAATGCCCGTTTATCCCTTCTGTTCTTCTCGAACTTTGAGGAGAACTTCATGCGAGTAGCAGCTGCGGAATCTTCTTCGGTTGCGGGAAGCAATCGTATACCGAGGCCCATCTTACGAGAAACATTTTCTTCTTCAGCAACTCTCTTCTTTTGATTCTGAGAAGATGGAGGGAAGTGTATTAGCATAATCATTGGAAGATGAAGGTGAGAAAAATGGAAAGGATTAGATGACATACTCTAAGCTGAGCTCGAAGTGTCCTGTTCTGAGTATAGTCATCTGCATGCCTAGAATCTGAGAGTCGTTGGAGGCGCACCAATACTGGCTCGGCTTCTTTCTTCTTCTGCATATCCTTTTCCTGGTGTTCAAGTCGATAAAATGGATCTGCAAGCTTACCCCTTTCTGTAAAAGATATATTAAAAAGGGTTAGTAATTCTAAAATAAAATTATATGGACAGGAGATTTAACAATGAAACCCAATGAAAGGCCAATTAAGTTTGATGACCCTGATAAGTAAATGTTATAAACATTAACGATCGTCACCTTCATCAGCCGGTAGTTCAAAGGTTTCGGCATCCTCTATGTCATATTCCTCAGTTTTTCGTTGTGCACCACTAATAATCACATACTCGCAATTTTTTGGATCTGTCTGAATAACAATCTCGTGTCTACAGCATGCTGATTTCATAGTAAAGCTCCATATCTGAAAGAATCAAGCAGATAATATTAGTCACTGAAGAGCTCTTATAGTGTGATTTCTACAAACCGATCATGTTTTTTCTAACAGGACATTACAACCACGAGAAATCACCATTCACCAATTTGTATATTGAAATTTTCATAGAAAAATAATCCATCCATCAGAACAAAGTTATTCAGAAAAACACATTGTGTGTAAAACTATGTGGTAATAGTCTCATTGCATATTAGAACCTTCAAAAGCTAAATATGTTACAATTAGCCATGAACAATACCTTTGTAGAATAATAATTTCCAACTTGCTTTTTCTCTGCATTGAACCTAACACCCTTTGCTATCATTGAGTTGCAGCCACCACACCATATATTGTAAGGCATCTCGAACCTAACAAAGCAACACATTTCGATTGATTAAAAAATAATAGACTCCGTGAATTAAGCCATCAACATGGAAATTTCCACACTCCAGTTTTTCAAAAAATAACATAATCCCCTGCTTTAACAAGGACACCCTAGGCAACAGTATTGAAGCACCAAGCCAAGAAGACCTCTCTAAGGTGCATGCTTCAGCACCATGCACCACACTTCCAAGTTTTAAATTTTTAATTTTTTTAAAAAAGCTTTGTTACGGCAGGAATGCCTATTTCCAAAGATTACACAATACCTCCTCAAAATCTGCTGATGATATTCATATTAGTCATCTAATCAAATAAAAACATCAATTTTATAAAAAGTAGATATAATAGAAAAAATAAAAACATTGATTCCAAGCCAAAGTTCTCCAACAATGTGTTCTCATTAGCCACCTACCTTATTATCAAGATGCCTTGATCTATTTTCCTTGCTCTCTCTCTCAAAGCATGTTGACCATGAAATTTGTTCAAAGACCCCTGAGAAAGGAAAAATCAGCATGAGAATCTGAAAGGATATAGATATTTCCTTTGAAAAAAATTATTGCACTACTATAGTTGAATGAGAAATGTACCTGTTTTGGGGTCCATTCTGGTGGATAGTAAAAGTTGTCTGCTCTCGCAGCTGCAAGTGAAGACTGAAAAATGCAAACCACCAGACGTCATAAGCATTAACGATTCAACATGTATTGCCAAGAATATATTTATAATTCATTCCCTAATAACTTTTTCTTTAAAAAAAAAAAGAAAAAAAGAAAAAAAAGATAAACAATAAAAAAAATTAATAACTATAGATACATACACGATCCACTTTGCATATTGAGTTGATTGGCTTCCAAGGCAACAGTTTTCACATGAAATACAATCTACCAAAATTTATGAAGTAAATGTAAGAGAACTTGCCTACCTAATTACAGAGTCAACTTAAGTGAACAACAAAGGAAGTTCGAGATACTCAGCCATTCAAACAGAATTTATTCCAGAAGTACACTAATTCTTGGTCCAAACATTAAAGGTCTCACCTAAGGGGTTGTATGACTATGTTTTTCAAACGCATTTCAGAACAAAAAGAAATTATAAAATTAAAGTATAAATTACTATTATAAGTATATAAACCATTTTGGCTAACTGTTTTTCTGACATGAAGTTTTTCTTCTAAAATTATTATCTTTAAGAGCATGTACAGAACACAGGTTTGAAAATAGTTTTTTCTAGACAACTCTAAATTACTAGGCACAATCCATGCATGAACCATTTCCAGAAAATCAAATTTCAGGTTAAATCCAACAACGGGTTCCAAGATTTTGGACCTAAATCACTTGTGATGGATATTGATTTCAATAACTAAAACTATTTGATTCCCCCCGTGACAAAAGATAGCCAATACATATACAAACCATTATGGTTAAATGTTTCTTCTGAAGAAGAAAATTCACGTTCTCCTATCCAGATCCAATGTGTTCTCTCGAACTGACATGATGTTTTTCTTACGAAATTAAGTTCTGAAAACATATATACAGAAGCACGGATTTGAAAGGACAGACCTGAATTACTTGGCATATTCCATCCAAGAACCATCCCCAGAAATCATTTTCCAGGTTAAATCCAAACAACGGGTTCTATAAATTTCGACCTAAAACAATCGTGATGGGTAATAACTTCACTTAACAGAATCATTCGATTCACTTACGAAAACCGATAACCAAAAATACTCTTTCAGATGCATCCGCTAATCTCTTTCAAAATAAAATAATAACTAATGATAATCGCTCCAACATAGGGCAAACAATCGGAACTAACAAACTCTAGTCTAAACCCAGATTTCTACGAACAAGTTGAATCGGATCACATAGCAATAAACCCTAGAAATCGAAAAACAAAATCACATACCATTATGAATCGTCGTCGGCTTCTTCAACTTCGTCGGATTCCAATTTCCAGATGCGAATTCAAAATTGGTCGAGAGATTCCATTTATTTCGTACTATTGTGTTTATATACTATTTTTACGCGTTCCATTCTGGAACAACGATGGCGCGCTTGCTTACGCATGGGCTCATTTCTTGTAATGGGCCGACGAATTACGCATTCATTATAGGCCCAAAGGACCTTAACACATGGGCTCATTTCTTGTAATGGGCCCACGAATTACGCATTCATTATGGGCCCAAAGGACCTAATCGCATGGGCTCATTTCTTGTAATGGGCCCATGAATTACGCATTCATTATGGGCCCAAAGGACCTTAACGTATGGGCTCATTTCTTGTGATGGGCCCACGAATTACGCATTAAATATGGGCCCAAAGGAACCTTAACGCTGGTTCATTTCTTGTAATGGGCCCACGAATTACGCATTCATTATGGGCTCAAAAGACCTTAACGTATGGGCTCATTTCTTGTAATGGGCCGACAAATTAGGCATTAATTATGGCCCAAACGACCTTAACGCATGGGCTCATTTAGCTTGTTGTATATCACATATACCAAATTTCCACATTGTCGCAAGATAATATTGCATTAATATAATGAAATATATTTTTGTCATATATACTCAGATTTATTTAGTTATATGTAAATACATACTCAATATCTTTACTTGTCAGTGCCATCGACACAAACTGCCCTACTAGCGGTTTTAAAACATGTCTGTTAGGGAGAGATTTCACACTTACAATACTTCATTTCCCTCTCCAACCAATGTGGAATATCACAATCCACCCCCCCTGGGGCCAGCGAGGATGCTAACACACCACCCGTCGTTTGACTCTAATACCATTTGTCACAGCCCAAGTCTACCACTAATAGATATTGTCTGCTTTAACCCATTACGTATCAATGTCAGCTTCACAATTTTTAAAAATCGTCTACTATGAAGAGGGTCTAACCCTAGTTCGACCAATGCATCGCATCGTCTAATAACTTGGCTCTAATACCATTTGTAACGGCATAAGCCCACCTCTAACAGATATTATTCGTTTTGGCCCATTACATATCATTCTCAGCCTCACGGTTTTAAAACGCATCTGCTAGGAAAATGTTTTGATACTTTTATAAGGAATGCTTCGTTCCCCTCTAATGAATTTACTTGTACATTCTCGAACTGGATTCAGTGTTTTCTTGCTCTTTGATCCCACACTATTCAATGTAAATCATCTCCTTTGTAGCAATGAGTTACAACAAGTATATGATTGCTGAAATTAAATTGGGATAACGATGAACTTGAATAAATAATTCAGGCTTCTTGCTTGTTATCATCACCCGTCTGTGTCGTATGAACTCGGCTCCTCAACTCTTCAAAAGCCTTCATGCTCTCTGCGTCAAAGCCTCCCGCAAACTGGAAACATATTACATTCAATATGTCACCCACACTTCTAATATTTTCAAATACTATAAGGTTCTTCAGGTGAAGAATGGAGATGAAATGTACCTGATGAACACGGAATGCGAAACGGACGCCTTGCAAGACCAAAAACTCTCTGTTCGGCTCCTTCTCGGGTTCGTTCATTGCATCAAGTTCTGATGCAACACGCTTCATGTATTTCCTTGCTAATTGTACTGATGAGAGCTTAATCTGCATTTGTAAAAGTACGATTACATTATACATTTTGTGTAATAATTCAAGCTCACCGTTAGTAGATATTGTCCTCTTTAGGCTTCTCCTTCGAGGGTTTCCCCTTATGGTTTTAAAACGCGTCTACTAGGGAGAGGGTTCCACACTCTTATAAAGAATACTTCGTTCCCCTCTCCAACTGATGTGGGATCTCACAATCCACCTCCCTAGGGAACCCAGCTTCCTCGCTAGCACACCGCTAGTAGATATTGTCCTCTTTAGGCTTTTCCTTCAAGGGCTTCCCCTTATGGTTTTAAAACGCGTTTACTAGGGAGAGGTTTCCACACCCTTATAAGGAACGCTTCGTTCTCCTCTCCAACTGATGTGGGATCTCACAATCCACCTCCTTGGGAGCCCAGCATCCATATTGGCACGCTGCTCAGTGTTTGGCTCTGATACCATTTGTAACAGTCTAAGCCCAACACTAACAAATATTGTCCTCTTTAAACTGAATCTATTTGTGTTCCATATCCAAAATGAAAACTAAACTCAAAACCCGAAGTTCTCAAAGAAGAAAAGATCGATCTTCTCGAAGTTATACCTTCCCAACAACACCTGTATCTGACAACCAATCAACTGGAATTCCGAACTCTCGATATCGCGAGATAGCCATGTCCCTTGTGCGTAGGAGAGCATAGACACTCTGCTCAACCCTGCCAAAAGACAAGAACAAAAATAATGATTGGACATGACAACACAAATTGAAACATCCATGTTCCCAATAATGGAACATGGCAGCACAATTTCAACAGTTGACTTGTTCAGACACAAGTTCTTTAATATGAACACCATGTCGTTGTCTATACTTACTTCTCAAGCAAGGAGTACATTTTCTTTAAAGCTGCTTCACATGGAAGTTTCGGTTCATCGACAAACGTGGTGACCCGCTTCTCCAACTTCATTAGGTCCTGATACTCGAAAGACGCCTCTCTTAATGCATCTGCTTTTCCTTCTGGCCAATCGAAGTGCTTCAGGACAGCCCTTTCATCAACCTTAATCAAAGACAAAAGAAAGTACACTAAGAAACAAGGAGATATGTAGAATGAACTAATATTTGCATCTTCTTCTGTGTAACAGTCCAAACCCACCGCTAGCAGATATTGTCCGCTTTGACCGTTATGTATTCCCATCAACCTCACGATTTTAAAACGCATCTAGTAGGGAGAGGTTTCCACACCTTTATAAGCAATGTTTTGTTCTCCTCTCCAACCGATGTGAGATCTCACAATCCATCCCCCTTGGGGGCCCAACGTCCTCGCTAGCACACCTCCCGGTGTCTAGCTCTGATATCATTTGAAACAGCCTAAGCCTACCGCTAGCAGATACTGTCCCCTTTAGGCTTTCCCTTTTGGGCTTCTCTCAAGATTTTAAAACGCGTCTGGTAGGAAGAGGTTTCCACACCTTTATAAGCAATGTTTCGTTCTCCTCTCCAACCGATGTGAGATCTCACAATCCACCCCCCTTGGGGACCCAGCGTCCTTGCTGGCACACCTCCCGGTGTCTAGCTCTTATACCATTTGTAACAGCCCAAGCCCACCACTGCAGATATTGTCCTCTCTGGGCTTTCCCTTCTGGGTTCCCCTCAAGGTTTTAAAACGCGTTTGTTAGGGAGAGGTTTACACACTCTTATAAGGAATGTTTTGTTCTCCTCTCCAACCGACGTGGGATCTCACATTCGGTAGTCTTTTATCTTTTTTTATTCAAACTCAATCCATAATGGAGATTAGTAAATAAAATGAATGCCGTACCAAGAACGATAGCTCTTCGTCTAGCCAATTTACGAAGGCCACAACATCCTCTATATTAGAGAAGGTAGCTCCTCGAACTTCAGCCGCCAATGACATGACAAAATCGCCTTGAGTTTCCACATCAGCTTTAACCTGGATTTAGCAACGAACTTATCAACTGTCAAATTACTATATAATGGCAAACTAAGAAGAGAATGATCTACTCACTGCTATGAGGAATGATGATCTGTTTTCAATCTCCCCAATCATGTTACTTCTAGCATCAGATACATTTGATGTTGTAGAAGAAAGCAAAGGAGTATCCTTCTTAGCCTCTCGTTTCATTAACGTCTGATAGAATTCAACTAACTCAGGCGCTCTATGAACCTTATCACCACCAACACCTTTAGCCAAGCTTCCCGGAGGAGGCGGTGGACGAGGCGGTCCACCAGGTGGTGGAGGTGGGGCACCAGGAGGTGGTGGTGGTAGAGGTGGAGCAGATGGTACACCACCCTGAGGATTGGGACCTTTACTTACAGAAGCACCTGCTGATGGTTTTGGTGGTGGCTTAGGCGTTCGTGGAGGTCGCTTCTCGATCTCGGCTAGCTTCATCCTGCTTATGGCTGGAGACTCCGTCGTCTTATCTTCACCAGATGGATCAGCAGAAGCACTAGCTACAACTGGTTTTTCCTTTATTTGAGAAAGCTTTGGCGGCAAAGTTGCATATCTATCTTTATCTGTCTTACCTTTAAATTCAGTGTTCAAATTTGAATTTGAAATGTTGCCAAACCTCTCTGCTCTTGCTTGATCAGCCCTTTCCTTAATTTGCTTCTCTCTTGCTAATGCCAGTTTATGTCGGTCTTTGTATGCTGGATATTTCTCATCCAACACTCCTTCAACAGATTTAGACATCAGCTGAAATGATGATGCTACTGAATTCAATGATTCATTAGGAGTTTGAGTTCTGATAGTTGGCAGATTCGGGGTGCTTGGAGAGTCGGGAATTTCGTGTTCCATCGTACCAAACGTGGTGATTGCAACATTGTCACTTGCATTTCTAAGCATCAACGCTTCTAATGGACCTCTTGGCTTCTGACTCATGCTCATCCTGCTCGGAGAACTCCCCGAAAACGATCTGGCTGGTGACGAAAGAACGCTCGAATCATCTTTGCTCCGACCGCCCCATTTCTTCAACTTCTGGATCAAGCTTGGTTTCTTACTGAGGCTACTATATCTACTAAAGGAACTATCAATTGAAGCATTGTCAAAATCTTCACTTCCAGGAGAAGATGGTTGGGAGAAGTTGCTTTCGAGATCGGTGTCTCCTTGTCCACGTTCCGATCCAGCATATTCCAACATGAGTTGTTTAGCCTTCTCCTGTGATTTTGGGCTCAAATTCTTGTTGAGATCACGAGCGGATAGTTTTCCGGTAGGCGCCTGGTAGTTGCGGAGTTCATATCTTAGGCAGGCATTGACCCATCTAAGGTAAACTAATTCCTCAACTTCACTGAACCTGTTCATTTGAAGTCCTTCAACTTGCTTTATTAAGTCCTCATTTGCATGCCTTAAATTGTTGACTTCCTCTCTAGTTTGGGATACCAATTCACTCTGCAATGTAAAAAAGAATGAGCATTCAGGCATAGGAGGCCTTTTTAAAGCAATAATTACTTGCCTGTTTGACCATATACCAAAATCTAAGTCTTTTGAGATAAAACTAAAAGCATAAGTGACATCATATTTGAGTTGCTATTTTCTAAAAGAACGTGTCTTTTGAGAGAGGAACGAGTGCCAGTAAGGACGTTGGCCCTAAAGGGGGGTGGGATTGTGAGATCTTACATCGGTTGGAGAGAAGAACGAAGCATTCTTTATAAGGGTGTGGAAACCTCTCCCTAGTAGACGCATTTTAAAAACCTTGAAGGGAAGCCCGAAAGGAAAAACCCAAAGAGGACATATCTACTAACGGTGGGCTTGGGCTATTACAAATGGTATTAGAGCCAGACACTGGGCGAGTGTCTACGAGGACGTTAGGCCCCTAAGGGGGATGTGAGATTTCACATCGGTTGGAGAGGGGAACAAAGCATTCCTTATTATAAGGGTGTGGAAACCTCTCCTTCGCAGATGCGTTTCAAAACCTTAAGGGGAAATCCGGAAGGGAAAGCCCAAAGAGGACAATATCTGCTAGCGGTTGGCTTAAGCTATTACAAATGGTATCAAAGCTGGACACCGGGTAGTGTGTCAACGAGGACGCTAGGCCCCTAAGGGGGTGTGAGATTTCACATCGGTTGGAGAGGGCAACGAAGCATTCCTTATTATAAGGGTGTGGAAGCCTCTCCCTAGCAAACGCATTTTAAAACCTTGAGGGGAAGCCTAAAAGGAAAATCCTAAAGAGAAAAATATCTACTAGCGGTAGACTTGGGCTGTTACAAATGATATCAGAGCTAAACATCGGAAGGTGTGTCAACAAGGACGCTAGACCCCTAAAAGGAGTGTGAGATTTCACATCGGTTGGAAAGGGGAACAAAGCATTCCTTATTATAAGGGTGTGGAAACTTCTTTCTAGCAGACGCGTTTTAAAACCTTAAGGGGAAACCCAAAAGGGAAAGCTCAAAGAAGATAATATCTGTTAGCGGTGGGCTTGAGCGGTTACAAACATGGTGACTTACGACTTATGGCTTGGGCTGTTACAAACATGGTGACTTATTTGTAAGAGGTGTTTCGAGTTTTTACTTCTGTCATGTTCGAGAGAGTCGAGATTCTATTCTCAGCAGCATCGAGTTTAACAGTCAGCTCCCGCTTCTCGATTTGAAGTTCTTTATTCATCCGCTTAAGCTCCATAACTTCAACCTCCAAACCCTTCACAGCTTTCAGTTTCTTTTCCATTTCATCATCTTTCCTTCTAGTTTCCATCTCCTTTGCCTGTAGACCAGAAACTTGTTGCTTAAGCAACAACAGCTGCCCTTTTGTTTGGTTAGCATCAAGCTGAATCTGCCTTTGCAGCTCCTTGATCTTACTCCTAGCAAATTCCAACTCCTTCTTAACCATACCATCTTGTGCGATCTCCTCTTGAAGCTTCTTCCTTTCAGCCTGCAAAGAACTAATGGTAATATTAAGCATATCAATCTCCACTGCCTTGATCTTGAGCTGCCTCTGCAACTCCGTAATGTCGGATTCCTGCTCTTTTAATCCGTAGTATTCGAGCAGTTCACCTTCAAGCTTTACTTCCCTCTCCTCCAATTCCTGTACTAAGTTACGCAACCGTTCCAATTCGCTCGCGTTGTTTGCCATCTCGGTTTCATACACTCTATCCTTCTCGGCTTTGTCATCGTCGATTTCAGGTAACGGAAACTCAATCTCCCCCGATAAAAGTTCTTCAAATTCAGGTAAAATGTCTTCATCTTCAGTTATATAAACAGGAACTTGATCAAACACACTACTTATTAACTTGACTTCTTCTTCTTCCTCCTCTTCCTCCACCTAATATAAAAGAGAGTTCATTCAATTCAAGAAGGTATCCTAAATAGTTTCTAGGAAGCTTTAAACAATTACTTACATAATGTTTAATCTCCTCCTTCTCTTCACCATTTTCTAAGCAACAAAACAGAATAATTTCAATACATCAGACAACATAACAAAACTTATCCAGAGTTGAACAATGAAGAACTGTAGTTCGAATATAAATACCGGTGAGCTTGTCGACGGAGGCGACGGATTTCGAGTTTTTAACATTGATATGTCTTACAGCATAGGCTGCAACTGAAGCAGCTACCACAAGGCCTAGCCTGAGTACCATCAAGCAAATACTGACATAAAGATTTTAACTTCCCAGTTGAGATAACCCAGTTCTTCAAAACTGTAGCGCCCATTCCCCCCCACCTCCATGGCTAACATTTCAAATCATTGTAGCCTCAAGGAACCAGAGTATGGTGAGAATTTTCAACAACTAGAAGTTTTAAGACAAATTTTGATGCTAACTAGCTGAGAGCCATGGTAGCCACCAATAACTAGTGGCCAACGCTTATCCAAAAGGATTGCGTGCCATGAATTTGTGGGTATTTAACATGTTGCACCACTCATTCAAAGGATTGAGCACACAGAGTATTAACACCAAAAAAAAGCTTACCACAGACCAAGTGTGAAAGAAGATAGACACGAGCAAAGGCAAGGCTGTGACTTGATTCTTAGCCGCTTGCTCGATGGACCGAAGCATATGGAACCGTGCTGTCGAGAAGGCAACAAAGTAAGGCAAACCCAATAGGCGAATGGACATTCAACCCACATGGTACCCTTTTTGGCATGTCTCTCGGGCTTCTTGTTTTCTTCTGCCAGCCGCTATCATCTTCGAAACAACTTGTTTAAATGGCTTAGACGGTTCATTAAAATCTGTCTTGAATGCGTGAAAACTTTGAGACTAAAGATGCCAATAAGTGATTTTTGGGCATCAATTTGAGAATAGAGATGCCAATAAGTAGAGAATATTAGTGAGTCAAGCTTGCAGAATATGGCGAAAGGTAGCTTTCTGGGTCATAAATAAGAGAACCCAAACGCCAAAAAGTAATAACCAATATGTCATGTCATCAAAGAGGGTGAGTTTGTGGACCTTATTGATCCTCTTGGAAGCTTGGATGGCATTGGCAGCTATAAAGAATTAAAGTTCCAAGGGATCAATGACACAGTTCAGTTTCTTCAAAGTCGATAAATGTGAGATTCCATATTGGTTGGAGAGGAGAACAAAACATTCTTTATAAGGATTTGAAAACCTCTCCTTCATAGACACGTTTCAAAACCGAGAGGCTAACAGCGATACATAACGGGCCAAAGCAGACAATATCTACCGAAAAAGATCAAAATTTGGAATTGTCGTTGAATCGATTCTTTTTAATGAATAGATCCGATCGCAACCCTGAAGAAGGATCCATGGCTAAGCTATGCACGATTGAGCTATGCAATTAGTTACACTAGTCCCTGTTGAGCTATGTAGTTGATAGATTATTATTACATCAATCCAAAGTGTATACTACGATCAGTTGAGCTATGCAGTCGACAGATCATTATTACACCAATCCGAAGTGTATACGTATACTTTTACTAGTTGAGTTATGCCGTTGACAAACCATACCAAATGACTTTATAAGCCCAAAATTCCCTAATCTTTGTTTATACACTACTCATTATGCAGAGAGAAAGAGAGAGAGTTCTTGTATACTGGAAATTATAAGGTTTTATGGCTTACACACATGAAGAAAAACGGCAGAAAAGGCTGTTTATTAAGAAGACAAAGGCTTTGAATTGGAGACAAATGGCTGTTTGATGGTGGGAAGTGAAGGAGTATATTTAGGAGATATAGCAGTGAGCACCACAGTTCCACCGAGCAAAGCCAAGGCCAGGCCTAGACTGTTGACAACCATGGCTTCAGGGCCTTTTCTAGGGACATGTCTCTTTGTTTGCAACAATGTCAGCTTCTCTAGAAGCCCTGTTTCTGCTACTGTCACTGCCAATGCATAACTGTATAGCCCAAGGAATACATGCCATGGCAGCACTCTTTCTCTTGTTGCTCTCACCTCCCTCCAGTGCCAGAAGCTCAGAAAACCCATCATCCACTGCATTCAAACACACCATATTTTTAGCTTAGTATCATCCGAATTGTCCCGGTTCGTTTGTTTTGAATGTGTTTTGAGTAAGGGTTGGAAAATCTCGGGTTTTGGTTTCAACTTTATAGTTTAACCACGCATGGAGATGAAATTCGAACCTCTAACCTTTCAAATTTATAACATAACGTTTAAGTATGGCCTGGGCATTCAATGTCTTACAGAAAAACACCCTAATAAATGAGGGGCAGAGGACTCTCAATCAAGTTGGGATATAAGAAAGCAGCAATGGATGGCTCCTTCACATTGCCATCAAGAGGGCAAGGTTCTTCCTAATACTGAAGAAGAATTAAAGGCTTGCTTGTGATAATAACATCATATGGGGCATATGGCACACAATCCAAGCCTACCGCTAGTAAATATTGTCGTCTTTGAACTTGTCGTTCCGGACTTTCCCTTAAGGTTTTTAAAACACGTTTACTAGGGAGAGGTCTCCACATTCTTATAAAGAATGCTTCCTCTCCAAACAACGTGGGATTTCACAATCTACCTCCCTTCAGGGTCCAGTGTCCTCGTTAGTACTCTCCAATCTATGTGGGATCTCACAATCCACCTCTCTTCGGGGCTAGCGTCTTCGTTGGCACTCTCCAACCTATGTGGGATCTCACAATCCACCCCTTTAGGGCCTAGCGTCCTCGCTAGTACTCTCCAATCTCGATGTAGGATCTCACAGTCCGTCTCCCTTCGGAGGTCCAGCATCTTCGTTGGCACTCTCCAACCGATGTGGGATCTCACAATCCACTCCTTTCAGGGCTCGGCGTCTTTGCTGACACTCTCCAACTGACGTGGGATCTCACAATATGACTTGACAGTGATGGTATGGATTATTCAATATGTTTCTAATGTCACTAGCAGATCTCAACAAGAATTCACATGGCATTCATTCCAAGCATTGAATTGAAAAAGAAGAAACATTCTGGTTCTGCAACATCACATTTTAAACAAATCTTTCTAGTTCAGTTCATCAGATTCAAGGCATGAAGGGGAAGAGTATATTAAGAATTTGATGGAAGTAAAAGGGGTAAAGAGAACAAAGAGAAAACCTGAGCTCCAAACAAAGTGAAAACGCTCAAACCCAACCAAGAATGTACGCTGTGGAAGTTAGCCAGAAAGCCACGATCCCAATGAAACTTGGTCCAAATTCCAAAAAACCCAGAAGTCAAAGCCAGCCCTTGAAGAATCAGATGAACAGATTTCCTCAAATTCCTCGAACCAGGCAGCCAACTATGAACCAAAATGGCTGAAAATCATAGCAAAAAAGCAAATATGATACCCATTTCACAGATCAACAGATTGAATCAACATTTTGGTTCCTACCCACCTTCTCCGCTGAGTAGAATGAAACCAATTACCATGAACAAAGGATGCAGAACCTGCAAAGCAAAACTCAAACCCCTTTTACTCACACGAAATAAAACTTGGGTCGAAATCTAAATGGGTCGAAAATGGCATACATCGAAGATACGGTCATCTGGGGCGGGGGGAAGATGGCCGAAGCTAGAACTGAAGGCAAGAGCCCAAACGAAGATCAGAACGGCAACAAGCAGTCCCAAAATTCTGGCAAAAATGAGTAATGGGGCAAGTGAGGGCAATGCTGCGGCCATGGAGACGGAGAAGGCAGCCTGCAGCTCAACGATCTTGACGCGGCTGCGAGTGCAGAGGTTGGTAGGCTGTGCAAATCGCGGACAAAGAAACTGCGGCTCTGCTGTGGAGTACACGGAATTGCTTTTGAAAACCAGACCTGGATTATATGGGGAACTGTGCTTAGAGCCGATTTTGGAGAGAGAAATCGATATTTTTCATCTGGGATTTTGCTAATCGGATCGTTTAGAAGTTTCGATCACTAATTTTGAGAAAACAGGTCTGGAAATTGCAGGGGTACTCATGGGGTTGGAGGGGGCAGGGGTTAAATGCAGTCAACGAAAGATTAAAATATCCGTTTACTAAATTTGAAGGCTTGTAACGATGGAAGGATTGAACTTTGACTAGAATGAAAACTTTTTAGAAAATTTTCCCAAGCCATTGTGCTTTCGGTGTTGTTTGTTAAAAAAAAATGTACATATTCTTTCCAAAGTTATAATAGATAGAACTTTTAAAAAACGTTTTATGACACAAAATTGATGTAGAACAACGTCAATCTTTTTAAATTGATGTAGAACAACGTCAATCTTTTTAGTTAAATCATAACGAGCATTTGCTGTTTTCAATTAAATGAAAACAAACATCTCACATCAGTTTAAGAACTCTTTTGTCGACTTTCCATCCAACATTATAAAATTTTCTATTTCAAAGACAAAATCTTTATCAATGGTTAGTTTAACCTAAAACAAAGCATAGAACGGCTAAAAACCACCAATTTTGGTACCACTCAATAATCCAGAGTCAACCCATTTGTCGACGGCCAGTTCTTGAACTCCGACCTAACCTAAAGACGATAGCTCTCTCAACTCACTCATAAGACTAGTTCACCACTCAAAGGTCCCAATTCACCCTTGACCTTTCATAGAATTATTGATCAAACTCGACTACAACCTCAAGCATTGAGGATGCCATTTTCAAAGGTTCAAGCTTGTACCAAGGAGTCGAAAGCATCGATCACCACAAGAGTGGTGAGGAAGCCCGACTGAGTCATCAGATTAAGCTTTCCGTACCGACATTCATTAATCATTATAGTTTAAATCAACTAGAAAACCATTTCCCTAAAATGAAAAAGAGGAATAAAACAATAAAGCACCAAAGTTTATAAAATATAAAATGATACATAATGATTTCACCAACAAGGCGTCAAACAAGAGCCAAGTAACAAGACGCACAGGTTGACAGTTAATTACAATAGAGAAAAACATCAAGAGGATGAGTTGAATAACTAGAACACCTTTAGTACATTTTGTGAATCGACAGAGCCTACAACACCAAATGCTTTCTTACAACTATGTCTGCACCTTTATAACAAGGAATATCACATATTCTACTATTTATTTTCTGCACAACAGTATAAAACTCCAACGAAAATTATAGCAGATCTTTGAGATATTAGCAGCTCATATTTGTATACAACAGTCGAGCATAATCAGGGTCGCCTATGGATTATAGTTATGCATACCTCGCCCTCGACCCCTTCCACCATGGCCATATCCCCTCCCATAATAACCACCACGACGACCACCGCGTCCAGAACCAAAACCACCACGACCACCTCGGTATCTTGCAAACTCACCAAATGTCTGCAGCACCAAACAACATCAGATACTATGAAGAATGGTTCCAAAAACATACAACGTTAACCTATTCATATAACATACCTCAGTGTCCAACTTGATTTGTTCAAAGTATCTCGTCCTCCTACCGTTCTGAGCTTCATTGTTAGTCGTGTTGCTTGAGAGAGTATCAAAAAAGTCGTCCTTATTGTACACAGACTGTAGACATGATGTGAGAATCAGTTTTATGTGGGCAGGAAAGTAAGTATGTCTTTAACATAACAAGTCATCATAAGTGTATGGCATTGAAAATAAGACCTTGATCCCTAACTTCGATGATTCACCGTCATCTTCTTCATAGTCGTCGTCTTCATCACTGAATTTTTCATCCCCGTCGTTGTATTTTGGAGATTTGGTATTCTTGCCAAGATGACCCCAGACTTCATCCTTGTTAAATTTCTCATTCATTGCCATGAAGTCAAAATCTTCTGTGAATTTCTCTGTTGGATGTTGGTTCTGCAAACAGAAAATAATAAAGGTTAACGGAGGATTCCTAATAATAAGAGACCTAAATCAAGAAGCACACATTACCCCAAATCGTCTTCCTCTACCACGTCCCCTGTATATGTGCCGAGTTTGTGAAGTTGAACCGTTTGGCTGGGGAAAAACAAGAAGTCAAAACATTAGATCGCTATGTAGCATGAAAAGTACATTGGGCAAACAAATAGTATACTCCTTGTACATGAGATAATGACAAATATCCAAATCACTCTAATTTCTACCACAAACAATAGCAAACGGCTTCTAATGAAACATATTGTGCATATTTACACGATATCTGAACAGCCTAAATGTTAAGGATCTTTAACCATATTGTTCCCGTATGAACTCCCTAAAAACCAAATGTAATCGCATAAGTATATGTAGTATATGTGGCCACAGAAAGAGCACCTTTTGAACAACTCGTGAAGACGTTGGTAATGGTAATAACGGTGGCTGAGTATCTGCTGGAACTGGAACAGTTTGTTCCGCTGCTAGTGAGGAAGATGCTTGAATCACTTCCACATCCTTCTGAACTGTTTGCGAAGGCAGAGATGAAGAGACTACAGTAGTATGTAACAGCTGGTCTGGAGTCACAAGGGCAGGTGCAGGCGCACTTGTGAGAACAGAATTCGATGTTCCAATAATAGAGGATGTAGACTGAGAGACAGTTTGATAAGACAATGCTGGACCAGAAACTGTAGTAGTTTTGTTAGTAGTTGGAGGCACAACAGGACTGACATCTAAACTTGCAGTCAAAGGAGATAGCGATGTCAAATTGGTACTTATGGGAGCTTGAGGAAGAGCAGAATTTATTGTCTTGTTGACCATTGAGCTTGATGACATCTCAGACGTCTGTGGAACAGACAGCACAGATGGAAGTGTTGAAGATACAGTAACTGGTGGCATTGCTGTGGATGATAAACTAGGAGCGGTAGGATTAGCAGAGAATAAAGAAGATGAAACTTCTAATGGATTTGGTGCCCCAGTGGGTAAATAAGCATTAAGATTAGGATATTGCAGTGGCTGCTGCAAGGAAGAAGGCAACGACAGGCCAGGTGGTGGACGAAGTAACGATTGCTGATGCATGTGAGGAAGTCCATTAGGGTGGCCATAATACCCTTGCCAGTACATTGGCAAACCAAGTCCACCAGCACTTGGATTTGGAGGAGGTTGCGAAGGAGAAGCTCCCCAAGACCCCACATTTCCTCCTGGTTGATATAAAGGCAACCCACTCTGGAAATTAGATCCAGGAATTCCCATTGGCATGGCCTGAGAATTAATATCAGGCAAAGGCCCACTAACAGGAGGAGGCAGGCTCGAAGGAATCGATACTGGACGAGGATAGTGAGACTGCACAAAAAATTCCACCAAACACGTAAGTTCACCTTCACATTAGGTTTAATAAATCGAGGAAGGGAGCGGGGGGGGGGGGGGGGGGG